GCACATAATCTGTTCGTAAGCATCTGTATAGAACGACACCAACTCTGGGTTTACCCCTTTCTCTACATTACTTTTTGAGTTTTCATTTTCCTTTTTGCCATGTGGGGAGGGTGCTAAACAAATTTTATCCTAAGCATCTATCATAAAACTATAAAAATAGACTATGCTATAACCTTATGCATATATTACTAAATTTTATATAAGTAATAATATTTTATTTTTTTTTTGTACTATCTGGATATACGGATCGTTGAAAGAATTATATATATATATATATATATATATATATATATATATATATATATATATATACTAATAATATATATATATATATATTATATAATACATAATAACATATATATATATATATATATATATATAATAATTATATATATATATTATATATATATATATATATATATATATATATATATATTATATTATATAATAGTTTGCACTGTAGATGATGGTAGTGGATTTTATACATCAGGAAACACTAAAGGGTTTCTTGACAGTGGTCGTCGTCATATGATAACCCGCTGCTAACTGGAGCTTTTCGTCATATGACCGAGGCCTTCCGCTGGTTTACTGGTCCGTCCCTTTTAAAAAATTAAAGATCAGTATGTGACGCAGTATTATTGTACATGTACCTTCTCTGTGTAACTTGACTAAGGTACACCATAAGATTGATGCTGTATGCAGATAATGTGGATAAGAGGATTGAAGCTTGGATCCACAGGTTAGGTTAGATAAAGTTCATCAGGAAACAGGAGAAGTGTTTCCTGACGCCGGTCTTAGATGATGACCCGCCGTTGAGCTTCTAGTCATCTGCCCGAGGCCTTCTGCTGGCTTACCTAAGGTCCACCCCTTTAAAAATTATGGTCATAGTTATAGCCTTTTAGTACTTAGTTGTGTTAGTTATTTAAGTGTCTAAAGCACTGGACAACCACTGTGCATTTATTATAGATTATTATAGCTAAGTTCCTCCTAGTGACTCACTTCAACACGTACACATAAATTCGCATGAGGGATTGTTGTGTAGAGGATTTAACTGTATATTCAACACTGGAAATAATGTGCTATATTAATTATCTCACAGTAATATTACATTTTTTTCTGCAGTAGTGTAGTCGTAGGAATAATAATAATACAGTCTATATTATACACATATAGTATAATTATATAGACTGTGTGGTACATATTTACGTAGAATTTGGGGGTCATTCAGTGTTTGCCTCAAGATTTATATCAAGAAATTGTGAAGTTCTCATGAGAAAGTACAGTCTATATACACACCGAGAGTTGTATTTCTCTCAGCATGTATATACTGAGAATGCTTTAATCTCCGTTGTTGTCCGGTGGTGGAAACATTCCGTGCAGCCTTAATGACTTATAGTTGATGGGCCTTTAACCCTATTAACCAACCTAGAATATACACGAGGATATATGAACATCGAGAGATGTATACCTCTCAGTGTGTATATATAGGAATTTACTTTAATCCCGATTTTAGGAAGGAAGGTATTCTTGGCTAGTGGTGAACAGGTGACGTGAAGTTAAAATAACGCTTTCAAAGATCGATAGACTTTAAGCACAATTAACCAGCCGACCTAAACCATAACGACAAGGATTTATACATCGATACGTGTGTGCCTCAGTGTATATACATTGAGTTTACGTTAATCCTTATTTTTAGTGACTAAATTATTCTTGACTGTTAGTGAACAGGTGGCATTCAGCATTAATGACCCCTTTAGTCGATAGGTTTTAAACCTAATTAACCAACCAACTAGAACATAATACGGTATATATGCGCTGAGAGGCGTTTCTGTGTATATACGATTGAAGCATATATATAATATATATATATATATATATATATATATATATATATATATATATATATATAGATAGATAGATAGATAGATAGATAGATAGATAGATAGATACAGGCAGTGTGGGGAGCAAGGGGTGACACTAGGTGTCATCACGCTACCTTACTCTTGAGAAAACTTCCCATCATTTCTTCAGGAGCACAGTTCGAGCCTCCTGCACATCGTTCTGTTTATTCATTTAACAGTCGCTTATTACGACTTAATTTGAGTTTATATATATGGCACGGTGACCCGAAAATAAAAAAAAATCTTGTTTTTACATTTAGTAATGTAAACAGGAGAAGGGGTTACTAGCCTATTGCTCCCGGCATTTTAGTACTCTCTTACGACATGCATGGCTGACGGAGGAAGGATACATTTCCACTTCCCCAATGAGATGAAAGGAAACAAATAAGAACAAGAACTATTAAGAAAATAGAAGAAAACGCAGGTGGGTGTGCATACATATACGTGTACAATTGTACATGCATGTATAGTGTAACCTCAGTGTAAATGGGAGTAGCAAAATGTTCCTGTTATCTTACGTGTTTATGAGACAAAGAAAGGACAACAGCATTTCAACAATTGTGAAATATTTTCACACTCATTTAGCAGGACGGTAGAACCTCCCTGGGTGGTGGTTGTCTACCACCTTCTACCTTATATATATATATATATATATATATATATATATATATATATATATATATATATATATATATATATATATATATATATATATATATATAATATATATATATATTATATATGTGTGTGTGTGTGTGTGTGTACTCACTTAGTCGTACTCACCTAGTTGAGGTTGCAGGGATCGAGTCCGAGCTCCTGGCCCCTCCTCTTCACTGGTCGCTACTAAGTCACTCTCCCTGAACCGTGAGCTTTATCATACCTCTGCTTAAAGCTATGTATGGATCCTGCCTCCACTACATCGCTTCCCAAACTATTCCACTTACTGACTACTCTGTGGCTGAAGAAATACTTCCTAACATCCCTGTGATTCATCTGTGTCTTCAACTTCCATCTGTGTCCCCTTGTTACTGTGTCCAATCTCTGAAACATCCTGTCTTTGTCCACCTTGTCAATTCCTCTCAGTGTTTTGTATGTCGTTATCATGTCCCCCCAATCTCTCCTGTCCTCCAGTGTCGTCAGGTTGATTTCCCTTAACCTCTCCTCGTAGGACATACCTCTTAGCTCTGGGACTAGTCTTGTTGCAAACCTTTGTTTGCACTTTCTCTAGTTTCTTTACGTGCTTGGCTAAGTGTGGGTTCCAAACTGGTGCCCCATACTCCAATATGGGCCTAACGTACACGGTGTACAGGGTCCTGAACGATTCCTGTGTGTGTGTGTGTGGTGTGTGTGTGTGTGTGGGTGTGTTTTTGTGTGTGTGTGTGTGTGTGTGTGTGTGTGTGTGTGTGTGTGTGTGTAATGTGTATTATAATAAATAATTTTAAAAGGGTGGACCCGTAAGCCAGTGGAAGGCTTCGATCGCATTACCGAAAGCTCCAGTAGTGGATAATCCTATGCCTGAAACCCGCTTCAGGAAACCATTGTTCTGTTTCCTAACGAATCTTACTTAACCTAACCATAAAAATTGGTGATTAAATTATGATTGTTAGGTTTTGATTTCACCCTCGGGTCCTTCCACTTGTGTGTTTGTGGTAAACAGCGACATCCCAGGGTACATGCGTATTCTGTGTCCATTAATGCATGTTAGAGTTGTACAGATCCTGAATTATTCCAGTGTAGCTTAGGGTGTCATGGTGTCTTAGGGCATGTATTGATGTTACACGGGATTGCTCAGGTTGTCCTAGTATATCCCGTAATATTTCTGGGTGTTCGTCCCGTAGGTTTCCCACTAAGTTCCAGGACGTTGTAGGATGCCACCACAGTTGCACAAAAACGTTTGTGCTTCTGATTGAAGGTTTATCTGTAAATCTTGATATTGTGAAGCCTAGCTTGACATAGTGAAGCTCTACTTTCCTTGTCTTAGACATAATGAAGCCTAGCATAATCGGCATTGACTTAATCAAATCTAGCATGACCCTCGATGATCTAGTAAAGTCTAGCGTGAACCAGTGAAGCCTAGCATGACCTGCCTTGACCCAGTGAGGTTAAGCATTTCTTACCTTGTCCTAGAATGGCAAACCTTTACCTGAGCCTAGCACGGCCTGACTTGGCCTAGTTAAACCTTGTATGATTTAGTAAAGCCTAGCATTATCTTATTTTACTTAGTAAATTTTAGCTTATCTTGCTTCGATCTTGTAATACCTAGCATGGCTTGCTTGGACCTATTGAACCCTAGCACAACAAAGTAAAGCTTAATTCTAAGTAAATCCTAGCATGATAAGTAAGAGCCTATAATGACCTACTAAAGCCTAACATGATTTGGTAAAACCCAGCATGGCCTAGCATGACTTGATAATGACTAGCATGATTTGGTAATGCGTGGCATGGCAGTAAAGTCTAGTAGTACAACCTAGTAAAGCCTAGTATGAGGTAGTCTATACTAGTATGCCTACCTTAGCCTAGTATAATCCAGTGAAGTATAGCCTTGCATGACTGAACGAGCAGCGATGTTCGAGATGGGAATGTCTTTGGGCAAATATGCAGAGTTCAAAACGAGTCGCTGTCTGACTCGTTTGTCTATTCCTCCCTTTTTTTCATCCCAGTACATTCCTGCCTGATTCATACTGCCAGTTACTCCGTACTTCATACAAGAAAGGAACTCCCTCTTCTTTATTTGTCGATATTGTTTACTGATACACTTCTATCTTTTTTCTCGAAACTTCCTCCTCCTCTCGTTGCTTGCGTTACTAACTCCCTCCCTGGAAAAGAGACGCTTCGCAGTATAAGCTTGTATTGGGACGATGAGAACATAGTCGCGATGAAAGCCTGTTCTGCAACTTGTCTCTTCTTCACTCTTGTCGGCAGTACCTTATTTTGGTCCTACCAGGAGTAGTTCATCCGTCTCTTCTTTTCTGTTGTAATTTCTCTTGTATATTATTTACTCAGTACAGACTGCCATCATTTTGGCTGGCTCTGCTCCTCTCCTTCCCTCTGTGCCTCCGTTATGCTATTCCGTTACTCACTCCCTACCTGGTCTTACAGAAGGGTCTCTATACGACAACAACAACTACCACGAGGAGTGCCTACGGTGTAACTCTTGCGGCCTCAATCTGACGGGTCCCAACCAGACCCGCGCCCGACGCTACAAGAACCAGTTCCTCTGCGACCTCCACTTCGCTGATGTCGCTCTCATGGAGACGTCAGACTTCTTGCAGCAGCTTCGCTCTTTCAAGCCTCAGAGTCTTGGGTGTGCCGTCGCCAGGAGAAAATCCTCAACTACGCTTATCTTTCCCCTCCCACCCCAGGCCTGTGCAGGTAAGCGCCTAAGGGATTATGTCAGTGCTGGGGTGTGTGTGTGTGGGGGGGGAGGTAGGTAATCGCCAGAGGTACAGGTGTGCCAATGGAACTGGAAGACTGTTAACGGGGGGGAGGGTACAGATGAGTGCCATGGAGTAGGCACAAGTACTAGGAAATATATGCAAGTACAAGGAATATGCATGAGCAACAAAAGCGTATAGATAAGTTCAGATAATGGCTAGCAGATCCATTATCCATCATAATGAAATGTGCCAAGTTAAACATATCTTTTGAGAAAGTAAAAAGATCAGTAGATTGGAAGATGTTACTGCTAAACTAAGGCTAGGCTCTGGCAGTACAGTTTGTATGGATATTTTGATGACATAATATGCAAAGTGTGGACAGAGATAGAGCCATACACTGGAGCATTATATCTTAAGAGTTAGTTGTGCCACCTGAACGGCTAGTTTATTGTACACTCGTGTTCATCCCGTGAGCGGTAGCGCAAAAAAGAAAAGGATTACAGAGATAATAATGGGTCTTTGTTAGACTGCACAGAGGATTTTTACATCAATAGAAAGAAATTTAAATCATTTCATATTTTACAATTACTTCATTTGGTTTTAGTACCCAGTACAGTAAGGGATACAGTTCATAACGATTGCTGTCAGTAAAAAAATTGGTCATAACGGGGTTGTATTTTAGTGTCCAAACATCCAACTTTCAGAGACACTTCCATGCAAACCTCACAGGTTAAGGCAAAACACCTTGAGGTTGTAGCCACATTTTACATCTATTAGATGAATGAACTTTTTATAAAGGATATTTCAACCCAGTTATGACCAATGTGTTTTAGTGGTAATAAGATTTTTTTTTTTTGAGACTGTATTCCATATTGTATTGTGACCATTAATTATATGAAGTAATTGTAAAATATGAAATGACAAATATTTCTTTTTAGAGATGTAACAATACTCTGTGGTGTCTGACAAAGACCCATTGTGACCTCTGTAATTCCGGTTTTTGCGCTACCGCTCACGGGATGAGCATGGGATGCACAATAAACTATCTGCTTAGGTGGCAAAACTAAACTAGGGGTATACATGAGTTCCTGCGAGAATAAGCGAGATTCAGGGATGGGGGGCGGGGTACAGATGAGTTCCAAGGAGTATAGATGAGTTTCCGAGAATATAGATCAGTTTCATAGAATATAGACGAGTTCCAAGAGATTTAAATGAACTCCGTGGGGTATGGATGATTTCTAGGAGTTTAGATTGAGTTCCCAGGGGTAATGAAAAGTATTAAAGGGTGTAGATAAGTGGGAAATATATAGGCTGATTAATATTCGAGTGTATTGGTGGGCGAGTTTCATGAAATATATAGTTGAACTTCAAGGGCAAAGGAGAGTTCAAGGGAAAAGAATAGGTGGGTGTCAGGAGAATATGTAACTGTCAGGGAGAGGTAGGTGAGAGTATATCATATTATGGTATCCCTTCTCGCATACTTTCTATTCCTCCCACAGACGAGTTTTGCCCCGGCTACCCGCACAGTCTCATCCCGACCCCCGGCTACTGGATAGAGTGCGCTGGCCAGCCGGTATCGGATGACACCATTTGGGACGAATCCGAACCCGAGCTGGAAGACGGCTCCCCCCAGAGCGACCACCCGGAGAAGGCCGACCAGAACATCCAGGTTAGTGGCCCTATAAACCACCAACAAGAAGATCCAGGTCAAATTCTTTGAGTAAACAGTATAGGATACAGCGTAAGCTGTCGTAGCCCCTATAAAGCAACAAAAGAGGTGTAGAAAGTTGATTGTCTCTCTACTAGTGGAAATTTGTCATATCTCTGTTACTTTTAGCGTGACTAAATTATTTTCCTGGAACTGGAACTAAATCATTGTCTTGATAGTGCAGTTAGAAGTGGATCTTGGTGCATGCACTGGCAGTGATAAATCTGGTACTTTTAGTTGAATTAAATAATTTTCCTGGTACGGGTCGTGTAAATAAATCGTGGAATCAGTACTGATAGCAAAGCTAAATAATTTTCCTTGTGGCTACCTTGTCTTATTTCTTGCACTGGTAGTGAACCGGATCATTGCACTAGTACTAAGACTTACATCAGAGCTCTGGACGTGAAACCGAATCATTATTCTGTTAATAGTAGTGGTACCTTGTCATACTTTTGGATCATTGTTATTACGAACACAAGTAGCAATATAGAGCAAGAGAAAGGCAAGGCAAACACAGCAAGAGAAGATTTCTTTACCCATGTATTTCTTCATCACTTATTTACAATATTTACAAAGTTAAGATATTAATTTAGCAGTATACTATGATGTAACCAAGAGACATTCAAGGCAACAGAGCAACCAAAGCTGGAAAAGGTCTGCCAGGCAGGCGGTTGTAACGTCACCTTGACTGCGGGTAGCGTGCTCCCACCTGATTGGTGGGTTGAACTGGACAATAAATACAACAGCGGGGCCCCAGAACTGCTGTACTCTGAACTGTTAGGTGGCTGGTCGAGAGGGCAGGCCAGTGGTTGTGTGACGAACGTTGAATAAAAATATAACATACTCACGCACGCTACATCTGACCTGGTACTGTCAGTGGTGCTGGTCATAGTCCTGGTACAGGTAGTGGTGCTGGTCATAGTCCTGGTACAGGTAGTGGTGCTGGTCATAGTCCTGGTACAGGTAGTGGTGCTGGTCATAGTCCTGGGTCAGGTAGTGGTGCTGGTCATAGTCCTGGCACAAGTAGTGGGACTGGTCATGGTACTGGTAGTGGGGCTGGCCATAGTACTGGTACTGATAGTGGGGCTGGTCATAGTCCTGGTACTAGTAGTGGGGCTGGCCATAGTACTGGTACTGGTAGTGGGGCTGGTCATAATCCTGGTACTGGTAGTGGGGCTGGCCATAGTACTGGTACTGATAGTGGGGCTGGTCATAGTCCTGGTACTAGTAGTGGGACTGGTCATAGTACTGGTAGTGGGGCTGGTCATAGTCCTGGTACTGGTAGTGGGGCTGGCCATAGTACTGGTACTGATAGTGGGGCTGGTCATAGTCCTGGTACTAGTAGTGGGGCTGGCCATAGTACTGGTACAGGCAGTGGGGCTGATCATAGTCCTGGTACTGGTAGTGGAGTTGGTCATAGTACTGGTACTGGTAGTGGAGTTGGTCATAGTACTGGTACTGGTAGTGGAGTTGGTCATAGTCCTGGTACTGGTAGTGGAGTTGGTTATAGTACTGGTACTGGTAGTGGGGCTGGTTATAGTTCTGATACTGGTAGTGGGGCTGGTCATAGTCCTGGTACTGGTAGTGGGGCTGGACATAGTATTGGTACTGGTAGTGGAGCTGGTCATAGTACTTGGTACTGGTAGTGTGGCTTGTCATAGTACTGGTACTGGTAGTGGGAATGGTCATAGTCTTGGTTCTGGTAGTGGGGTTGGTCATAGTCCCGATACTGGCGGTGGGGCTGGTCATAGTCCTGGTACTGGTAGTGGGGCTGGTCATAGTCTTGGTTCTGGTAGTGGGGCTGGTCATAGTCCTGGTACTGGCAGTGGGACTGGTCATAGTCCTGGTACTGGTAGTGGGGCTGGTCATAGTACTGGTACCGGTAGTGGGACAGGTCATAGTCCTGGTACTGATAGTGGAGCTGGTCCTAGTACTGGTACTGGTAGTGGGGCTGGTCATAGTCCTGGTACTGGTAGTGGGGCTGGTCAAGCTGATACTGGAGTGGGGTGGTTCATAAGTCCTGGTACTGGTAGTGGGGCTGGTCATAATTCTGGTATTGGTAGTGGGGCTGGTCATAGTACTGGTAGTGAGGCTGGTCATAGTCCTAGTACTGGTAGTGGGGCTGGTCATAGTACTGGTAGTCGGGCTTGTCATAGTACTGGTGCTGGCGGTGGGGCTGGAATGCAGGAGGAATAGGGGAATATGATAACGACGTACAAAGTACTGAGAGGAATTGACACGATGAGCAGAGATGGGAAATAGGAACACAAGGGCACGGTTGGAAGTTGAAAACTCAAATGAGTCACAGAGATGTTAGGAAGTATTTCTTCAGTCATAGAGTTGTCAGGAAGTGGAACAGTCTGGAGAGTGAAGTAGCGGAGGCAGGATCCATACATAGCTTAAGAGATACGATAAAGCTCATGGAGCAGGGAGAGATTGCACCTAGTAGCGACCAGTGAAGTGGCGGTGCCGGGAGCTATGACTCGACCCCTTTAACCACAAATAGGCGAGTACACACATACATACACACAACACATTCACATGTAAACAACACACACACGTGTCTATCAAAAAGTGCCTTTGATAAGTAGTAACTAAAAACATCCTTTATATACATCAGTCAATTAACCTTCACCTTTTTTACCCTGTTTGCGGTGGTCAGGTGTGTCCTGGTGGACAGGTGCCTCTCATCAACGAGCCGTCGCGGCAGAAGACTTGCATCCAAGAGCAGTGGGAGCGCAGCGGCCAGTTCGACCTGACCAGCATCGACCAGGAGACGTACGAGAAGTACTTCTACGGCTCAGAGCACTGGAACTACTTTACTCAGGACGAGGACCTCGGCCCTGTCATCCTCTCACTCAAGCAGGAGACCTCTAACGGCAGGGACCAGTTCAGGTGATACACTGTGTGGTAGAGTGGGTTGACCAGTGAAGGTGATACACTGTGTGGTAGAGTGGGTGACCAGTGAAGGTGATACATTGTGTGGTGGTTGACCAGTGAAGGTGATACACTGTGTGGTAGAGTGGTTGACCAGTGACGATGATACACTGTGTGGTAAAGTGGTTGACCAGTGAAGGTGATACACTGTGTGGTAGACTGGTTGATCAATGAAGGTGATACATTGTGTGGTAGAGTGGTTGACCAGTGAAGGTGATACACTGTGTTGTGGAGTGGTTGACCAGTTCCTTGGTCACGCTACATTGCCTTTTAATTCCTACATTCTGAAGTGGTTTGATACCATGAAATGTTTTCGATGGCATCCTGCTACTGAGCTTCGACTGCAGTCATCAATACAGTACTTCACCCATTGTATATAACGATATGGTTGACATTATTATAATAAATCACACCTTATAAAGTGTAGAACCACTGTCTCTGGTACTTCCGAACACTGTACTTTGATTTACTCACTTATTTTGCCACATAGATAAACTTGTTACAGATACTAAACACCACCATCTTTTTGCACATCATGGCATCTGTTCATACCTCGTGCATCCTCGCCAGTATCAACATCCCATACTTCCCCCACTGATTTTATATCATACAATATGGTTATAATTATTATAATAAATCACACCCATATAAAAGTGTAGAACCACTGTACTCTGGTACTTTCCCGAACCACTGTACTCTGATGTACTCCCTGTATTTTGCCACCATAGATAAACTTTCTACAGATGCCTAAACACCACCCATCTTTTCCCTGCATCTATTCTATGGTTCACCTCATCTTTCATAGGCCCATACGTTGTCATGTCCACTCCCAGGTATCTAAATACATTGTTCTTCCATACACCCTCCCTCCACTCTGATTCTCAGTTTATCATTACCTAGATTTTTTTTATTACTCGCATCACCTTTCTCTTTTCTACATTCACTTTTGATTTCCTTTTTTACATACTATCCCAAGTTCGTCCAGAACGTAACTTGTTACAATAATCCTCCCAAAAGAACTATCATCAGGAAATAGCAACTGTGATAACTCCCACTGTGTATCAGATCCATCATCCTTTAGTCCCACGCCTCTCTTCCCAACACCCCATTATCTATAAATATGTTAAATAACCATGATGACTTTACATATCCTTGTCTAAGACCTACTTTCACTGCAAAATAGTGCCCCTGTCTCCTACATACACTAACCTCAGCCTCTCTCTTCTTAAAAATTTACAGTTGATTTTAGTAAACTAAATAATTATATTTATAATAATTGCCTTTATGGAGTTGGTGAATTTCCAAACGCATTACTTGTTCTTTATCTCTCTAATTATTTCTCTCATTAGTTCTTTCACTAACTGGTTCCTCCTGGTATCTTGCAGGATCATGGTGCGAGGGATATCCTACACGGTTCATGGACTGGTACCCGCCTCATGCGTCTTCGCTGACCGTTACAACCGAGAGGAGGTGGTCAGGTCCTTCGGCCGGGAGATTAACCTCAACCCTCCCCTCGTTCTCGGCCAGCTGCCTGACATTCCCGAGGAACTGCTCAAGCTCGACCAGGTGAGAACCGTCCAGAGAGGGAGGTAAGGGCTGGAAGGGAAGATGCACAAAGAACTGTTTGAGAGACTTGTGTTTGGGAAGGTCAAGACACTTTCCTCTTGAGGGGTCTCTCACCCAGGCTACTTGTCTCACCATGATCCTGTGATTCATTTGGCTTAAATGGCTGAAATATTTGGTCATTCGTACGGTTTCCTTCCAAAAGAATGAGAATGGAATCATGTCCCAGTTCACTCTCAAACCCTCGGTAACTTAGCGCATTGTAGCTGATGCACCTTTCGGAAAGGATTGAATCATTTGTTGAGAGAAATGCTATTGGCGGTTGCTTGCAGATAGATCCAGGTAGGGCAACGGGAAGTGATGAGCTCCCAGAATTCTTTCCAGGTGGTATTCGTCCATTACATCAACCATTACTAGAGCAGTGGTTGATTGACTGATAAGCAAACTAAGCGTTCGTTTAGGACCCTGATTACTGAGGAGCCCCTGTATCTTTATTTCTCAACCTTCGTGAGTCGTGGCCCTCTCTAACTAGATAACTGGTTCAGAAATTCACATCTGGATGAATTAGACCCTTGTGCAATATTCGGATATCTTTATTGTGGAAACGTTTCGCCAACCAATGGTTTCCTCAGTCCAGTACAGAGAAGAATGGTTGAAGATCAGAAGGAGTTTGAGGTAAACAGTCCCCTCAGCCTGAAGCCGATATGATCACATTGATTCCAGGCTGAGGGACCGATTTCCTCAAACTCCTGATCTTCAACCATTCTTCTCTGTAAGGACTGAGGAAGCCACTGGTTGGCGAAACGTTTCTGCAATAAAAATATCCAAGCGTTACACAAGTGTCTCTAATCCATCAAGCTGTCTCTAACGTTGGACGGCTTGTGGTCCAGCCGGTCCTGAGAAACCACAAATATTTAGTTACATTTTATTCATTCCATTTCAGGTTTGAAATCGAAACGCAATATTTTTTTTTAAGTTCTCATAGTCAGTTGAATATTTACGTATTTACGTTTGATAAAACAATGTTTACGACATGCTCGCAGCGGGCAAGTGGCAACCACACAATCAATTATACGTCTAGCTGTAATGTTAAAATTTAATTTTCACTAATTTTATAACTGACAAAAGCGAGGGCCCTGAACGTGCTGCTTAGGGCCCCTGGATTCTAAAACTGCTGCGCTAACTAGCTAGTGTCGTGTACCTAGCAATACTGACCCAAGTGTGTCGTTCCACAGGTGTTCATCAAGAGTGAGCTCAAGGTGGGTGTGGTCTATGTACGGGAGGAGCAGTTCACAGAAGAGGAGATCCTCGACAACAATCGACGCATATCGATTTTCTTCAGTCCTCGGACAATTTCGATGAGTTCGATAAACTTTTACAGATGCCAGGTGCAAGGAATCAGCAAAGTGTTTAGCTAAGCGAATTTGATAAATCATTTTTATTAATGTTTTAGTAAACAGAGCCATGAACGAAGACTTACTCATACAAATTGCGCTAACTGCATAAGCGGACGAATTATGACCAAGGGTCCCTACCAGGCTTCAGAGTACTAAGTGTTTCATAACACAGACACATAACACAGAGCCTACTCATAACACAAGCCTGCACTCAGACACAGACCTCACTCATAACACAAGCGCACTCATAACAAGCCTCACTCATAACACAAGCCTGCACTCATAACACAAGCCTCACTCATAACAAGCCTCACTCATAACACAAGCCTCACTCATAACACAGCTCACTCATAACACAAGCCTCACAAGACAAGCTCACTCATAACACAAGCCTACTCATAAACAAGCCTCACTCATAACACAAGCCTCACTTCATCACTAACACAAGCCTCACTCATAACACAGCCTCACAAACAAGCCTCACTCATAACACAAGCCTCACTCATAACACAAGCCTCACTCATAACACAAGCCTCCATAAACAAGCTCACTCATAACACAAGCCTCACTCATAACACAAGCCTCACTCATAACACAAGCCTCACTCATAACACAAGCCTCACTCATAACACAAGCCTCACTCATAACACAAGCCTCACTCATAACAAGCCTCACTCATAACACAAGCCTCACTCATAACACAAGCCTCACTCATAACACAAGCCTCACTCATAACACAAGCCTCACTCATAACACAAGCCTCACTCACTACAACCTCATCATAACACAAGCCTCACTCATAACACAAGCCTCACATAACAAACTCACTCATAACACAAGCCTCACTCATAACACAAGCCTCACTCATAACACAAGCCTCACTCATAACACAAGCCTCACTCATAACACAAGCCTCACTCATAACAAGCCTCACTCATAACACAAGCCTCACTCATAACACAAGCCTCACTCATAACACAAGCCTCACTCATAACACAAGCCTCACAAGACAAGCCTCACTCATAACACAAGCCTCACTCATAACACAAGCCTCACTCATAACACAAGCCTCACTCATAACACAAGCCTCACTCATAACAAAGCCTCACTCATAACACAAGCCTCACTCATAACACAAGCCTCACTCTAACACAAGCCTCACTCATAACACAAGCCTCACTCATAACACAAGCCTCACTCATAACACAAGCCTCACTCATAACACAGGCCTCACTCATAACACAAGCCTCACTCATAACACAAGCCTCACTCGTAACACAAGCCTCACTCATAACACAAGCCTCACTCATAACACAAGCCTCACTCATAACACAAGCCTCACTCTAACACAAGCCTCACTCATAACACAAGCCTCACTCATAACACAAGCCTCACTCATAACACAAGCCTCACTCATAACACAAGCCTCACTCATAACACAAGCCTCACTCGTAACACAAGCCTCACTCATAACACAAGCCTCACTCATAACACAAGCCTCACTCTAACACAAGCCTCACTCATAACACAAGACTCACAACACACTCATCATAACACAAGACTCACTCGTAACACAAACCTCACTCATAACAAAACCTCACTCATAACACAAGCCTCACTCGTAACACAAGCCTCACTCATAACACAAGCCTCACTCGTAACACAAGCCTCACTCATAACACAAGCCTCACTCATAACACAAGACCTCACTCGTAACACAAGCCTCACTCGTAACACAAGCCTCACTCATAACACAAGACTCACTCGTAACACAAACCTCACTCATAACAAAACCTCACTCATAACACAAGTTAATATGGTACAAACTTCGTATGCTTGACAAATATACATAAACTTATACTTGTATCTGGCTCAGCTTTTCATATACATTCCCTTAAAGTATGTGTGTGTGTGTACAGGGTTTGACAAGTACAAGGGCGGGCTGGACACTGTGCACGACCTGACGGGACTGTACAGCGTATACGCTCACTGGAGGAACATAGAGATAATGTTCCACGTCTCAACACTCCTGCCTTACGAGAAGCACGACCCTCAAAAGGTGAGCTGCGTTACATTTATGGGGAAGTACTTAATAAATAAATACGCAATAATAAATTTCTTTATTTCTACAAGTACATGAACAAGGTGTACATACCTAGCTGACATCAATGACATACTGCTATATAGAAAGCCCCTTGTTTTGAAAAACATTTCGGGCAAATTAGGTCAGTTTTGTACCCAGGATGCGACCCACAGCAATCGGCTTACACATAGGTACCTATCTACTGCTAGGTGAATAGGGACAGCAGGTGTCTTAAGGAAATACGTCCTGATGTTTCCACCCGTACCGGGGATCTAACCACGGACCTCAGTGTGTGAACTGAGTGCGCTATCAATTGAGCTGTCGGAATAAATCTGTTGGAATCATACAGCGTCAGAGGAATGGGAGGTAGTCAGGTTTGACCCGAGGAAGGGGATAGGAACTCCATTTGGACTACTGTTAGAAGTCGGAAACACAAATTTACATGCAGTAAAGAGTGTTTGATAAACATTTGTAAATCACACAAGACTTCAGGTCTTGTGTGTTATCCAGTGTGCAGACAAGTCCTGTCTACATTATGTTTTAGACACAATAGACCAAACCTCAGGTAGTTTTAGCATCTCAGGAGTGCTTGTCAAGGTGGTTGTACTCCGCCACACACTACACAGCAAGTGACTCGTGTTCAAGCACCCGACATCACTGTAGTTCCCTATATATTCTGGTTTTGTAGGTGTATCGGACTGGAAAAGTCTCCGAGCTTTATAAAAAGCCATAACACAGGTTTTTAAGTGGGTGAAGGAGATTCAATTCTTCATCCGCTAAGCTTAAGACTGTCTACCTAACTGTTTTCACCCTTTCTGTTTCAATGATGTAGAAATCCCAGTTTATATGACTCAAACTAACGTTCATCTTCCTTATCCCCTGCCTGGGTGAGCGCAGCTGCAGCGGAAGCGACACATCGGAAACGACATCGTGTGTGTGGTGTTCCTGGAGGCGGACAACACGCCCTTCTCCCCGGCCTGTATCAAGTCTCATTTCCTACACACGTTCATTGTTGTCCGCACCAGTCCCAGGATCAAGTTCAAGCCCACACGTTATGAGGTTACTATCTTAACTGTGTGTGACGCAGTGGTACTGATGGGTCTCTATCGTAGACTGACGGTGGTTGTCAGTCTTGATGGTAATAATGTTGGTAAAATTACCGACAATATATTAGGTAAAAAGGACACAAGTGCAACTAATGTGACAAATTTTTCTGATAACGTTTCACTCTCCATTTTTTTTTTTAAGCCGTAAGGCTTAACGAAGCTCCTGGAGAGCAAAACGTTGCCACAGTAAAATATCACATTAGTCGCACTTGTGTCCTTTTACCTAACATAATCTTTATGAGAGTGTTGATGGTGTACCAAGTCTGTATGGTTAAGATAAAGTTGTCTTGGACACTTTAACCCGGGGTAGTGAGTGTTAGCCACCCAGGATAACCCGGGGTAGTGAGTGTTAGCCACCCAGGATAACCCGGGGTAGTGAGTGTTAACCACCCAGGATAACCCGGGGTAGTGAGTGTTAGCCACCCAGGATAACCCGGGGTAGTGAGTGTTAGCCACCCAGGATAACCCGGGGTAGTGAGTGTTAACCACCCAGGATAACCCGGGGTAGTGAGTGTTAGCCACCCAGGATAACCCGGGGTAGTGAGTGTTAGCCACCCAGGATAACCCGGGGTAGTGAGTGTTAGCCACCCACGGTAACCCCGGGGTAGTGAGTGTTAACCCCCCGGATAACCCCGGGGAGTGAGTGTTAGCCACCCAGGATAACCCGGGGGGTAGGAGTGTTAGCCCCCAGGATAACCCGGGGTAGTGAGTGTTAACCACCCGGGGAACCCGGGGTAGTGAGGTTAGCCCCCGGGTAACCCCGGGTAGTGAGTGTTAGCCCCCCAGGAAAACCCCCGGGGGTGAGTGTTAGCCCCCCAGGATAACCCGGGGTGGAGTGTTAACCACCCCCGGTAACCCCGGGGGGTGAGTGTTAGCCACCCCGATAACCCGGGGTTTAGGGGTTAGCCACCCCGGGTAACCCGGGGGGAGTGGGGTTAGCCACAGGATAACCCGGGGTAGTGAGTGTTAGCCACCCCGGTTTAAACCCGGGGTAGTGAGTGTTTGCCACCAGGATAACCCGGGGTAGTGAGTGTTTGCCCCCCCAGGATAACCCGGGGGAGGAGTGTTAACCACCCGGATAAACCGGGGTAGTGAGTGTTAGCCACCCCCGGATAAACCCCGGGGTATGAGTGTTAGCCACCCGGATAACCCGGGGTAATGAGTGTTTGCCCCCCAGGAAACCCGGGGTAGGGAATGTTAACCAACCAGGATAACCGGGGTAATGAGTGTTAGCCACCCGGATAACCCGGGGTAGTGATGTTGCCACCCCGGATAACCCCGGGGGGGAGTGTTAACCACCCGGTAACCCGGGGTAGTGAGTGTTAGCCCCCCAGGTAACCCGGGGGGGATGAGTGTTCCACCCGGATAACCCGGGGGAGTGGTGTTAACCACCCAGGATAACCCGGGGGAGGGGTGTTAGCCACCCCGGATAACCCGGGGGAGTGGTTTTAGCAACCCCGGTAAGGGGTAGTGAGTGTTAACCACCAGGATAACCCGGGGTAGGGAGTTTAGCCACCCCGGATAAAACCCGGGGTAGTGGGGTTTTGCCACCCAGGATAACCCGGGGGAATGATGTTAGCCACCCCGGATAAACCCGGGTGGGAATGTTAACCCCCCAGGATAACCGGGTAATGGTGTTTGCCACCCAGGGTAACCCGGGGTAGGGGGTGTTTTGCCCCCAGGTAACCGGGGGTGTAGGTTAGCCACCGGAAACCGGGGGAGGGAGTGTTACCCCCAGGTTTAAACCGGGGGAGTGGGTTAGCCACCCCCGGTACCCCGGGGGAGTGAGTGTTTCCACCCAGGATAACCGGGGGATGAGTGTTACCACCCGGATAACCCGGGGGGAGTGAGTGTTAGCCCCGGATAACCGGGGTAGTGAGTTTAGCCACCCAGGATAACCCGGGGGAGGAGTGTTAGCCACCAGGATAACCCGGGGTAGTGAGTGTTAGCCCCCGGTAACCGGGGTTTTTGTTTGCCAAACCCCGGTAACCCCGGGGTAGTGGTGTTTGCCCCAGGGTAACCGGGGGGGAGTGAGTGTTTGCCACCCGGATAACCCGGGGGAGGAGTGTTAGCCCCCCCGGATAACCCCGGGTTTTAGTGAGTTTAACCACCCCCGGATAACCCCGGGGTAGTGGTGTTAGCCACCCAGGATAACCCGGGGGAGTGGTGTTTGCCCCCCAGGATAACCCCGGGGGAAAGAGGTTAGCCACCCAGGATAACCGGGGTAGGGAAGTTAACCACCCCCGGATAACCGGGGTAATGAGTGTTTGCCCCCAGGGTAACCCCGGGGTAGTGAGTGTTTGCCCCCCAGGATAACCCGGGGAGTGGTGTTAACCACCCCGGTAACCCGGGGTATTTGGGGTTAGCCACCCCGGGTAACCGGGGTAGTGAGTGTTGCACCCAGGAAAAACCCGGGGTAGTGAGTGTTAACCACCGGGTAACCCGGGGTAGTGGTGTTTTGCCCCCCAGATAACCCGGGTAGTGGTGTTGCCCCCCAAATTTTCCCGGGGGGGAGTGGTGTTAACCACCCCGGATAACCCGGGGTAGTGAGTGTTAGCCACCCAGGATAACCCGGGGTAGTGAGTGTTAGCCACCCAGGATAACCCGGGGTAATGAGTGTTAGCCACCCAGGATAACCCGGGGTAGGGAATGTTAACCACCCAGGATAACCCGGGGTAATGAGTGTTAGCCACCGGATAACCCGGGGTAGGGGGTGTTAGCCACCCCGGGTAACCCGGGGTAGTGAGTGTTTGCCACCCGGAAACCCGGGGTGGGAGTGTTAGCCACCCGGAAAAACCGGGTAGTGAGTGTTAGCCCCCAGGGAAAAACCCGGGGGATGGTGTTTAACCCCCCAGGATAACCCGGGGAGGATGTTAGCCACCAGGATAACCCGGGGGGGGGGTGTTAGCACCCCGGGTTCCGGGGGGTGATGTTAGCCACCCAGGATAAACCCGGGGTTAGTGAGTGTTAGCCACCCGGATAACCCGGGGGAGGGGAAAGTTAAAAAACCCAGGAAACCCGGGGGAGGGAATGTTAACCCCCAGGATAACCGAGGTAGGGAATGTTAACCACCCCGGATAACCCCCAGGGAATGGTGTTAGCCACCCAGGTAACCCGGGGGAGGGAATGTTTAACCCCCCAGGATAACCCGGGGGGAATGAGTGTTTGCCACCCGGATATCCCGGGGTAGGGAAAGTTTAACCCCCAGGATAACCCCCGGGTAAATTGAGTGTTTGCCCCCCGGATAACCCGAGGGAGGGAATGTAACCACCCAGATAACCCGGGGTAAGGTGTTGCACCCAGGATAACCCGGGGGGAGTGGGGTTAACCCCCCAGGAAAACCCGGGTAGTGAGTGTTTTTCCCCCCAGGATAACCCGGGGTAGTGAGTGTTAGCCACCAGGATAAACCCCGGGGTAGTGGTTTTGCCACCCGGAAACCCGGGGTAGTAGTGTTAGCCCCCCAGGATAACCCGGGGGGAGTGAGTGTTAGCCACCCCGGATAAACCCCCGGGGGGTGATGTTAGCCACCCAGGATAACCCGGGGGAGTGGTGTTAGCCACCCGGAAACCCGGGGGGTTTGGGGTTTGCCACCCAGGGTAACCCGGGGTAGTGAGTGTTAGCCACCCCGGGTAACCCGGGGGGGTGAGTTTTACCACCAGGATAACCCGGGGTAGTGGTGTTAGCCACCCAATAACCCGGGGTAGGAGTGTTAGCCACCCAGGATAACCCGGGGGGGGGAAATTTTTTAAAACCCAGGTAACCCCGGGGGGGGAATGAAAACCCCCCAGGATAACCCGAGGGAGGGAATGTTAACCACCCAGGATAACCCGAGGTAAAGTGTAGCCACCCGGGTAAACCCGGGGGAGGGAAGTTAACCACCCCGGATAAACCCCGGGGTAGTGAGTGTTAGCCACCAGGAAACCCGGGGTAGTGATGTTAACCCCCAGGATAACCCGGGGTATGAGTGTTAGCCCCCCCAGGATAACCCCGGGTTTGTGGTGTTAGCCACCCAGGATAACCCGGGGGATGATGTTGCCACCCAGGAAACCCGGGGTAGTGAGTGTTGCCACCCGGATAACCCCGGGGGAGGATGGGGTTTGCCACCCAGGTAACCCGGGGTAGTGATTTAGCCACCCAGGAAACCCGGGGTAGTGAGTGTTGCCAAGGAAACCCGGGGTAGTGAGGTTAGCCACCCAGGATAACCCGGGGGTGTAGTGTTAGCACCCGGTAACCCGGGGGAGGGAATTTAAACACCAGGATAACCCGGGGGAGGGAATGTTAACCACCCAGGATAACCCCGGGAGGGAATGTTAACACCCAATAAACCCAGGGAATGAGTGTTAGCCACCCAGGATAACCCGGGGGAGGAATGTTAACCACCCGGGTAACCCGGGGTAGTGAGTGTTAGCCCCCAGGATAACCCGGGGTTTGTGATGTTAACCACCCAGGATAAACCGGGGGGCGTGAGTGTTTTCCACCCAGGAAACCCGGGGTAGTGAGGTTTTTGCCACCCCCGGATAACCGGGGTAGGAGTGTTAGCCACCCCGGATAACCCGGGGGTTATTTAGTGTTAGCCACCCAGGTAAACCCGGGGGAGGGGTGTTTGCCACCCAGGATAACCCGGGGTAGGGGTGTTAACCCCCCGGGTAACCCGGGGGAGGAGTGTTAGCCACCCAGGGTAACCCCGGGTTTGTGGGGTTAGCCACCCAGGTAACCCGGGGTTGGGGGTGTTAACCACCCCCGGATAACCCGGGGGAGGAGTGTTAAAACCCCCCAGGATAACCCGGGGGAGGGGGTGTTAGCCACCCCGGATAACCCGGGGGGGGTTTTTAACCCCCGGATAACCGGGGTAGGGTGTTTAAAAACCCCCCAAAACCCGGGGGGGGTGTTAACCACCCAGGATAACCCGGGGTAGTGAGTTTAGCCACCCCGGAAACCCGGGGTGGGGGTGTT